CCCTAAAAGGCGGAGTTTTGAAGTCTCCGACTTTGATGCCGCGCGTCCTCGCGTCGGAGCCCTGGGTCTGCATGAATGTGCAGGTGTAGGCAGCCGGACAGGCATAGGTATGTGTGTGTGTGTACCTATATATATATATATTTGTTTATTTATCTATATGGTGTATAATATATACACAGTATGTGTATATGTGTATATATATATTTATTATTATTATTAATATTATTATTATTCTTATTATTATTATATATATATACACATACATATGCGGGCACATGCTTCAGACGCGGAGCGCAGCCCCCTAAGCCCTGAACCTAGGCCCTGACCTGTAGGCCCCAAGCCCTGGACCAAACCCTAAGCGACAAACCCAAAAACCCGAAACTCTATACTCTAAGCCCTAAGCCGTAACCCTAAACTCTATACCCTAAGCCTAAACCCAAAGCCCTAAGTTGCCAACCCGAAACCCTAAGCATCCCTAACCTACCTAAACCTTAAACCCTTATTTTAAGCACGGATTTGCAGTGTATGCCTAAACCCTAAACCCTAAACCCTCTCTCTCTCACCCTAAATCCTAAACCCTAAACCCCTAAACCCTAAACATGCCTCTTTTCCAGCCCAGGCCTTCTCGGGGAGTGGAGGTCTGTCTCTTGAGGCTGGTGTCCTCCTTGGTCGCCAGGCTCGTGACCTCGGTTAGGGCTCATAGTTTTCAGGGTTTTAGGGTTTAGGGTATATAGGCTTTTTTGGTTGTGTGCTATTAGGGTTTTCAGTTCTTTGGGACAATTTGGGCTTTTACTACACAGGGCTCATAGGGCTTTTGGGGGTTTCTAGGGTTCAAAAGGCTTTACGGCTCATAGGGAGTACAGGGCATAAACACAGGGTGTGTGAGGTTTCATCCTGGTGCGCTTATGGAGCTTATTGATCCGGGGTTGCTGGGCTTCAGGGTTTGTAGGGCTTTTGGGAGTGGCTGCGTTTAGGTCTCACAAACTAAGGATTTGTAGATAAGGAGTCGGGATGCAAAACTCTGCCATAGTGACTTCGAGAATAATACTTGCAGCGAAATTTGCAGGGTTTTGAGAGCAAGGACTCAACACTAAACGTGCCTCAACATTCAGGAGAACTGCTGCCTTAACAAGCATAAAGATCACGAACAAAACACCAAGGGCCCTCGCTTGCATTGGTATCTTCCGCATGTTTGGTCTTCGAGATCAGTGGCCCAACTTGCGGACTGCATGGGGACACGTTCGGAAAGAAGTCGCGTCTTGCTATTTCGCAGTTCTGCACATGCGGGCTACATCAGGAATCATTCGAAGCAACAAGCCCGAAAACCGCTAAACCCCTCAACCCTGCGGCGTAAGAAGAATCAATGTGTCCGTCAACACTCAAGAATGAACCACCTAATCACTACTTACTGCATGCGGACACACTTTTGGCAGCAAGTAGCACGACTGTTGGCAGAGCCCAGCCTGCCTGTCGGTCACTCGACCTCCAGGGCGGGCTAGGCCCTGCTCCCAGAACTCAAGATGCAGAAAGGCACACATGGGTGCCACGTGTCAGCTGCGGCAGCGGCTCCGCTGCACAATCCCTTCACCCGGGGCGGGCGGGCGGGACTTTGATAAACTCTCGGCTGCAGGAACCAGCAGCCGGCCGAGCAAACAGAGAAGGCAAAGCAACAAGTCAAGCTGACAATTCGCATGACATGCAGTAGTGATCGTACCACACACGAGGCGTGAGGTAGCCCCAGACAACCCTATCCGACTCAAAGGCTTAAAGCCAGGCAGAACGTGGTATTCTTGAGCGGCTTTGCGGGGCCTCGCGAAGTTCCACGCTCGGGTTTCTTCTGTGAGTACAGTGCCATCGGGCATGTCTCTTCTGCCTGTCCGACACATCGTGTCGCGGTGCGCCACTCCGCAGCATAGGGCAACCGGTGACGCCAATCGGGCCTTCTTCATGATCTTCTTCGGTGTACGATGCTGAAACCCTAATTTTGGGGTCTGGGGTTGAGGCTTAGGGAACCCTAAAACCCTGCGCCTTTGAGACGCCAACCCTTAACCTCCATGATGCACGGGGGTCTGGGGGCATGACATTTAGCATTGGGCTCCTTAAAGGGTTCTTGAAAGATGTCCATATGGGTTCTACAATCAAGGCTTGGCAGGGTCTTGCGACAAGCTATTTGAACAAGTGTTCCTTTTTCGGAAGGGGGAGGCGATATTGGGGAACTTCCAGGTGATGTTCTTCACTCTTCAAACCTTTATGGCAGGTCCCCTGGCTCTGCATCGGGTTGTGTAGCGTTCAAGCTGTATGGTCATGGGTTTGTACCCCTGGGATCCGCTGGGGCTTAGGGTTTTAGGCTCCAGGATCTATAGGCCTTTCGAGTAAGCCAACCTATCTATCTATCTGTCTGTCTATCTGTCTGTCTGTGCGCGATATAGGCTTTAGGGCCTTTAGGGTTTAATCTAACCTGTGCAGATGGCTCAATAAATGCAGGGTTTAGGGGTTTAGGGGCTTAGGGTTTAGGGTTTAACGGTTTCAGAGTTTACTGTCTAGGGTTTACAGGTTTCAGGGTTCAGGGTTTAGGGTTTAAAGCTTATTTTCCTTCCTACGTAGCAAGGACGAGCCCGCATTGGAGGGCTTGGGATTTAGTGTCAAGGGTTCAGGGCTACTGATTCAGGGTTAAAATTTTTAAGGGCTTGAGGTGTGGGATGTGGAGTCTGCCTTAACCAACCAGAACCAACTTTTTTTGTAGGGTCCTTCTACATTGTTCATCCCTAAAGCTCATAAGCCGGAAACCTACAAGCCTCCACTTTGAACCTGCTATAATCCTTGAAGACCTTACAGCACCACGGCCCAAACGCTGCGTCCTGAACGCATCTACGGCACCGTGCAGCGCGGCGCCAGCCCCAATTCCGTGACTGGCGTGTACCAGACGGCGTCTAGCCTGGGTCTCTGATAAGGCCTTTAGGATCATGGATGCTCTACACCCTAAGCCCTAACCGCCCCAACCCAAAACCCCAAGCCCGAAACCCAAAACCCTCAACATGCCAAAACGCTAAACCCTAAACCGATAGTGTGTTAAGATTCCAGGTCCTGCTGCAGGTGTTTAGGTGCGTTTAGGATTACACGGGGGGAATGGGGTTTCAAGCTTTGCTTCGGGGGTTTCGGAATTGGGGTTTATGCAGAAAACCCCAAACTCGAAACTCCGGAAAGTCAACTAGACCCAACGGCCCTATAGTGCCTAAATGCCTAGATGTCTCGTTTAGGGGTGTGCCTTGAACCTTTCAAGGCTTGTTTGACCATGGTCTTGTCAAGCCCTGGTTGTACCGTACCATTCAGTTGTTTCAGTCTTGGAATGTGCAGCTTACGGACAAAGTGTTCAGTGAAAAGGGGCATAGCGCGGCATAAGGGAAGTTGGATTGAAGGCGCGGCTTCCTCAAAAGGGACCGTATTCTTAATCAGGATCCGATTTTAAAAGGCCGTTGAAGGGAGGAGATTGTACCCTAAACCCTAAACCGTTCGGGCGAGTGCGGCTCCAAGCCGCTTCTCGTCCATAGATCGCATGGAGTGGACCACCGAGAACTCCTCGCTCACTGAAAGAATCCATGATGGGGTTTGGGGGTTTGGGGTGTATGGTTGTTTGGGGTTGGGATGAAGAGGTGTCCGAGGCTTCCACAGTCGGGCGTTTGGGCTCACATCTACTTCACTCGCGTGGAGATTCATATTGCCTGTCTAGAATGCACAAAGACCGCTTCAGGGCTTAAAGACTTAAGACATCTTGGGCTGTCCGAATACGTGGAGCCTTAATAATTTTCTGGCTGGTGAGATCTTTGTTTTTCCACAGAAGCTAGGTCGATTCATGTGCATGCAACCAACACATGGGCACTTGCAATTCGACGTGTTGCCTTGGAAAACTTACTGTAAGTAAGCAACAGCGGCACTGTGCTTAGGGACGCTCCTTGACGAGATCTTGCTGTGCTGCCGGGTTCGTGTAGCCTTGGCGGTCGGCAGCCGCTCACAGGGGAATGCCAAGCTAAACTACCGAAATCAAAGGTACAGAGTTTGGAAGGCATACAGTTTGCATAAGGCTTGGGGTTTACGGTTCAAGCACCTGAAGTCAAGCCTCATATCTGAAGTCCTGTAAGAGCACCCTTAGGACACCTGCCACTAAGTCGTACACGCTAAAGGAGAACAGAAGCATTCGAGTCTGTCAACACACACCATGTCTAAACCACTAAGCCATAAGCCCGTCAAAGAAAATTCCAAACCCGCAAACCAGAAGTCAAGTCTGAAAGCCTCAAAGCCTTTCCGGTTTAGGGTTTAGGGTTTATGCTTTAGGGTTTAAGCTTCCAGCGAGAGGGTAACCCCGGTTTATCTGCCCACGGGCATCTCTCGTCCACAACAACAACAACAACAACGCTCCGTCAACCTGTAAACGCGCGCGTTGTAAGGTTGGTCGTTTTTGCATGGACACAGACAGAGCGCCGACATGCATTTTACGTGGCCTGCGTGGGACAAAGCCCAGTCTCGGTTAGCGTTGTTCGTGAAATTTGTTTGCGGAGCTTCGTCGGTTTTCCGCGGGAACCCCTCGCGCAAGACAAAAAATGCGTTTTTGTGTGGGAAAACGCCGGACGCAAATTTCGCCAAATAACTGTCTGGTGGGTCTCGGGCTCCAGACTACTTACCCTCCCCGTTGAGGGTCGTGACCGAGAGCAAATCACTGTAATCTGGTTGGCCTCACCTCAGCCCTGGTGGGTATGGGCAGCAGGCTCGCCACTCCTTGCGGATAGGAGTGAAGAAGAATAAGCCCTAGCAGTCAAGCAGAACTTGAAACGCGGAGACAGTCACCGCGCCAGGCATGTAACCCACGCCGCAAGAGTGCATGCGGCCTCCAGCGCATGGCTGGACCAATGCCTGCTGTGTCATCTTATACAAAAAGATGACGTCTTAGAAAACGTGTGCAGTGAAACGTAACCAGCGCATGGACTACCGTAGCGTGAGCCCGTGTATCACAGTGGCATACTGATCACACGGTATGAAGTTGCCATACTGGAAAGGTAATTCAGCAATGCTTCATAGGCGTCCACGCTAGTGCCGTACATTCTCCAAAGCATGTCGTACTCGTTGTTCTCAGGTCGTCCCCGTAGTAGAGTGGTGGGAGGCTTGTCAGCATCCTCTGCACTCTTCGCTCGCTCTGAAGTCAAAATGTCCACTCCACAATTCATGCGTTGTACTTTCTCAATCACAGCATGGGATGAAGTTCCAATCTCGCCAGATGCAAGATAAGAGAGGTCGTCGTTGTTGAAATTGCTGGCATAGCACTGGTTGGCATATTGCACGTATTTGAGCGATAAAAGCGGGAGTATGCCAGCGTAACCCACTGCCCTAGCTAATGCTGCCGCTGCAGCGTTCTGCCTCACAATGTGGAACTTACCCTGCTCAAACGCCTGTAGCATGCCTGGGGTCGTGGACCAATTGTTGCTAAGGTTTCGAACCAGGTCGGGCACGTAAGTGCCCTCAAGATCAAGCTGTTCATCAAGAAGAAAGTGTGTCCCGACAAATTCGGCATATGGTTTCTGATCGGGACTGACTCCACATCTTCTGATCTTCATGTCAAACCCCATTCTTTTCCAGAAGTGCAGGAAGTACACGGTGCGTTCATCCTCGGCGACGTCACCGAAGGGACGGCAAATACGAGCCAGAGAGTCATCGCCCTCCAGCACTATTCGTATCCACAAGTTCTTGCCGTCAATACCTTTGCACGAATCCTGCCTTTCAAAGAGAAAGACCCAAGGGTTGGATGAAATAGAGCAGCACCACATAACCAGGTTTACCCACCAATTCAAACAAGAGGTTCCGCGATGACCTGACCGTCTGATTGCCTTGAGTTGGATGAAGTACGTCATGAGCTTATCCTTGAACTCAAGATTGTATCTGTCGACAGTGTTCATCTGCGAGTGCTCTTTTTCCCACTGAGGCGGCACCATATAATATTCAAGCAAACGTGTTGTGATGTGCCTCAAGACGGGGCTCTCAACCATATCACGCAACTCCTTGGAGCAACATGAATCCCAGGCTGAGCCATCGCCCTCGACCATTGGTGCTTTTGGCCCTGACAAAGTCGAGCCAACGTGCTTCTTGCTTGGCCGAAGGTAATCCGCAACGTCTTGCAGGGCCTTATGCCGTGAGCGGCCCTTTATACTCCTCGTGTGGTACTTCTTGAAGAGAAGTCTCTCAAATATCGCGATCACCAGTAAAGACATGATCTGGCCGTGATCCCCGTCAGCGATCAGCAATCTCGGGGGCTTCACCGAACCATCAGGTTTGCGACCCATAGGCTCTAATTTTATTTTGGCTTTTGTTTTGAATCGCGGGTCGACTTGATGGAGCAAATGGTTGAAAGTATTCTCAAACCGTTTGTCCGTCCATTTCTTTGAGCCAAATTGCGATAAGTGAAAGACCTTTTCCATCTCTTCGTCGATTTGCTCTTTTGAAAAGACATAGTATTTCTTGTTTCCTTTGTAACCGAGAGCATGTGCGAGCATTTCCCCAATCTTCTTCTTGTCGTCATCAGTAGGTGAAAAGGGAAATTGATGGTCTTCTCATCCGTTCTTTCTTTTCCGGCTGCAACGACGTTGGCAACACAGTTGTCATATATCACTGGCTCGGACAAAAAGGGCCCAGTGGCGACACCAACCACCTTAGATGTGCGTGCATCAGGGCAACCTGAAATCCGACCATAGCATCCAACATGTCCCACTCTTTAAAGTCTTGTCGAATGCAGAACTTGCTGTCCATATCATGGTGCAGTTCAACCTCTCTTGAGAGACTTGCGTTGCTTGGTCGTCAGTCGCACCATGCCAAATTGGCGTGAAACCGAAAAGGACAAGACGATGAAGTGATACGGGTCGCTTACGAAAATAGTGATGAGTAGCTTCGCCATGGCGTGTTGACGACAGCGGAGTGTGCTTCAATGTTTTAGCACACAAACTTGAGCCAAAATGGCTTTTGGGAGTTTAGGGATTAGGGTTTCCTAGACTCCCCAACCCCATCATCCCTGCCCAAGCCCTAAAACTTCAATGCGCAATCATGACTCAAAAAGTCCCACTATGGCACTTCTGTGGGTAGTTGTCTAAACTAGGGTCCCCTTTAGGGCCCTTTGTATAAGAGTGCCGTACTCTTTTGGCTAACATACAAAGGGACCTAATTGGAGAAAACTACCCACATAGCATGTGATGTTTCAAAAACGTCCGACCAGGGACTTGCGCGGCACTCTTCCCGGCACTGACGGAGAAGCGAGAGTACCGGGGTGATACCGGAGCCCCCCGCTAATGCCTTGGTCCGAACATAGGCTCCATAATAGCTCCTTTTTGTGGTTTATATGTAGGATCCTATAAGGTAATCCCAAAAAGGAACTACCAAGGAGCCCATGGGTGAACATAATTTCGTCTGAGGGCTGCTTGTCGTGGTTGTTAGGGGTTTCGGGTCCTCGAGCCATCGGCTGATGCCGTACTTGAACGCTCTGTTGGCTTAGTGTGAGGTCGGGAATCTCAGGCTTCGGTTGGGTGCGGTACAAGTTGCAGGGGCCTTGATAACAAGAACGTGTGTGTGTGTGTGTGTCTTTTT